AATAAAACACCAGCACCAAAACATGAGTCCAAATTAAACAGGACTGGCCGACGTTTACTGCTCAATGACATGTGTAGTATTTATGCTTTTACTTACATCATCCACCATTAGGGTTGCAATTGCTCTGCCAATTTCAATGTATGATTTGGCTTTCCCCATCGGACCCAGTAAAATAAACATAAACCTGATGATATTAGAAAACAATGGAGACATGAATGCACAGATATTGTGAAGGCAAGATTTTATTATTACAATGGCATCACCTTTTGCATTGGTAACAGCAGAGACTACATTCCAATATTTATATGTAATTAGTACTTCTGGATGTTTGCAGCAGCAGTGTGATAAGAAGCATTCATTGTTAGATATTATAGAAAAGGTCCAATACCCTTTTAAGTTTATTTTAAAGAGAAAGAAATTCACATTAGGAAGAATAAAACATATTGAGCCCATTTACACTGTTGTGTTTTAACGTGTCCAACTTCCCAATTATAAAAATACTGTCTGTTCCCTTCTCTGTGCTGCAGTGTAGTGTTCAAATACAAAGAGAGACCGCCACAGCTCCCTCCACCGCTCCCTCCACCCAGGGCCAGATTAAGAGCATCACGGGCCTGGTGCTTAGGATTTTGGTGGGCTCCGGGATGTCAGTGCGGGTCTGGGCGGTCAGTGCTGGCTCCGGGATGTCAGTAGGGGCTCTGGGCGGTCAGTAGGGGCTCTGGGTGGTCAGTAGAGGCTCTGGGTAGTCAGTGCGGCTCTTTATTCAGGCATATTGGAGGGCCAATCACTCCTCACCAGCGAGCGGCCCTCTAATATGCCTGAATAGAGGGCCAACACTGCCTGATTGCGGCCTGTCACTGACCCGGATATCAAGGCGATCCGGGTCGGCTGGGCCTATTTGCAGGGGCAGGTCTGGAGGGGCAGCTCCACCTGCCCCTACATTAATCTGGCCCTGCCTCCAGATCACAGTCCACCATTTCCTCCACTGCTCCCTCCACATCACAGTTCCACTGCTTGGGTTTGTCGCAGGTGCCGGCCAGAGAGCCGTCCATACTCCATGGCAAAGCCAATCCAAAAAACAGCTGCACATTGCCAATCTTCATCCAAAGATTTTATAAATAAAGATGCGCTGGGTGAAGACTGGCAGTGTGCGGCTGTTTTTTTTATTATCTCTGCAGTGCAGTCTGTTTTGAAAGATATTACATGTAATTTATTTCTACAATTTAGTGTTGTGTTGGGAGGCCCATAGAAGTCAATGGAAGTGTATTAAAAAGCATGTGTTGGGAACAGGTATTAAAGCGAACGGAGTTAAATCTGTAAAAAAAAAAAAGAATTGTTTTACCTCTCAATGGATTCACTTTTGTGTCCATCCAGTCCTAAGATTTACACAGCTCTTGTCAGGGCAGGTGAGCTGATTTTCTCTGCTGCTGTTAGGTCATATTTACAGGTCTTGCCCCCCCCATCCTAAGACTTGATAGTGAAAAGAGAAGCAGCAGACTGATGAGCTTGTCCCTTTGCACTCTACTCCTATTAACATGACCCTTGCTCTTCAGCACACCTGCTTGGTTTCTTTGCTGTTACTCACTCCCACAGTCTGCGCTCTGCTTTACAAGGGGCTGATACCAGACCAGCTTCAGGTATTTTGACTGCTTTAATAAAAAAAAATACATCTAATGATGTATTAATAGATACAGAACCACATTCATCTGTGTATTTTATATCTGCTTGGAGTTCAGATTTAAAGGCCAGTGACCATTTTAGGAAGGGGGGCACGATCTGCATGTTTTATTTCATCTGGATGATTCAAATATATGTGCAGCTTAGGTAATGGAAATAGTGGCTGTCTAACAACAGCAAAGACTAGTATAGGCTTACTGTCTATCAGCTACACAGCTCAACCAAATGAAGTCACCATATGCGTTCTATAGTATATATAGAAAATGAACTGCGCCAATAAGCAAGCTAACAGCTACAAAGCACTGGAATGTACACCCACTGTGAGTGTGTATACGTGAAAAATGAATAACTAAATGTGCCGAGCTACAACAATGATGAGATATAAAGAGTATAAAAAAAAAAATAGTGACTCAAACAAATGTCAGTGAATAAAAATCAATCAGGTGTAAAGTCTTTAAATCTTCATAAAAATGTCCAATGCGTTCTATAGATAATGACTTTTATTACCTTGTGGGTACAGGAACCTCTGTGACACCACCAAGCATTATTGCCTGGACTAGCCGTACAAAAGCCACAAACGGTTTGTCTAAGAAATCCACTTCTCCCACCAAAACATTGGAGGCCTCGGCGTCCCGGGGAATCTTCTTTATAAACTTGTTTCTCAGCTGCCAAATCAGAGACGGACAAGTTACAATATTCCAGATTTCATGGGATAAGGTCATTGATTTTCCCAGTGCAGTATCTTTCATATATGGCATCCCAGTTCCCAGCAGACCCTTCATGTTCTTATTCAGATACCAGCATATTTTATAGGCTTACGATTTAGCTGCAGTGCCAAAAAATCCAGAGCTTCATTACATCCTGATGCCCCAAAGTCAGCCTATCCCCAAAATAAAACTGCATCATGCTAATGGTATCATGTCTGTAATAATGTCATCCTATTTT